ATTTAGGCTCGAGCTCGGCTCGGGCTCGTTTAATTCGATCTCGAGTCGAGCTTTTAACGAATCGATCCCGAGTAGCTCGGCTCACTTACACCCCTAGTTGGGTGTGTCAATATATATATATATATATATATATATATATATATATATATATATATATATATATATATATATATATATATATATATATATATATCCGGTAAGAAATTTTTTTTGGTAGGAAGGTAAGAACTTTTTTTCTACATATATTTTTGACGAACAAAATAAATGAATCACTAGATGATTCATTTGTAAGATGATTCACAAGAAAAAAATTCCCAAAAAAAACATCTTTATGATTAATTTTTAAGTAATTAAGAAAAAATTTATTTTTATGATAATTTTAGTGAATAACAACAAAATCATTGTATAAATGAATCATCGTGATGTTTTTTTGAGAATCTTTTCTTGTGAATTACAAAATGATTCATTTTGTTTGTTTGCGAAAAAAATATGTAGAAAAAAAAAATCTTACCTTCTTACCTAAAATTTACTTCTTATTTGATCTTGACTATATATATATATATATATATATATATATATATATATATATATATATATATATATATATGAGACGACCTAATTTTTTTATTTTTTCTTAATTAATTCAAGTTCCGAAAATAATATTTAAAAAAAGAATTTTGGGATTTTTTCCATTTATTTTGCATTTTAAAATTATTTTTTTAGAATATGTACAGTGTAATATTGTATTAGAATATTTCACGTATTTTTCAAAAAAAAAAACGGGATTTTTTTTTTTATTTTTTTAGTTAATTCAAGTTCCGAAAATAATATTTAAAAAAAGAATTTTTAGATTTTTCCATTTATTTTGCATTTTAAAATTATTTTTTAGAATATGTCAGTGTAATATTCTATTAGAATATTTCACGTATTTTTCAAAAAAAAACGGGATTTTTTTATTTATTTATTTTTAGTTAGTTCAAGTTCCGAAAATAATATTTAAAAAAAGAATTTTTAGATTTTTCTATTTATTTTGCATTTTAAAATTACTTTTAGATTTGGTTTTACGATCTCACAAAATTAGAATAGTTTCAAATAAACTTGAACTCAGTGGCGGACGCCTTAAGGGGTCACGGAGGCAAAGAAGATGTACTACTAGAACATGATATCACTGAAAATATTTCTCTAGTTTTTAGGTGAAATATAATATTATATTTCTAGTTTTGAAATATAAGATTATACTCCTAGTTTTGAGAGGAAATATTAAAAGTTTTTTAATCCGATAAAACTTACAAAAATAAGTAATTTAAATCTAAAAATCAAAACTTAACAAATCCTAATCCTCATTTAAACTCATCTTATTCAAAATAAAATCCCACAGATTCTCTTCGATCTAAACTTTTATAGAAAACAAAGCTTCAAGGTAAAAACCAAAAAACCCTAGTCGCGCCTCTCCGATCTACAGTCGTCTCTTTAGAGATGGCTCGGGTTTCTGCCGGAAATCTTTGCTCCACCACGCCCATGTGTGTGTGTCTGACTGAGCTCCTCACTCGCCCATTTCGACTATGAGATCTCGTCATCACTGTATGTGCATTACTCAGACTCTCTCTCTCTCTAACATTTTCGTTTTGCTTTTGCATCTATATTTGAATGTGTTTTTTTGCTTATTTAAAATGCTCTGGAGATGTAGAAGGTAAAAGATAAAAGGTTAAAAGCCTTTCTTGTTGTCAGCTTTGGTTTTTGCCACTATTAATATATTAATATATTAGCAATTAAAAGGTGTTTTTTTTTTTTGCTTGATTAATGTGTTAGAAAAAATTTAAAAATATCATCAGAACTTCTGATTTTATTCTTTTACATAAATGTATCTATATGAAAGAATGACTTATTTGCTAAATTTATATAATATATATACTTGTAATGTAATTTAATTATTTTATTGATATTTTAAGATTTTGAATTATATTAGGTCTTTTGAATTCTAAATTCTTTGTGTTTATTGTGATTTATGGGTTAATTGTTAATTTCAATATAGATGATTTTGATGTGTTTTTTAGGGTTTTAGTTTTACTAGAGAATAAGTATCCTTTTGGAAACTCATGTAATCTTGATCGATAAAAAGGGACTAATCAATAATATGGATGAATATAATATATGTTAATTGACTTCCAAAACTTATAGATAAGAATTGCAAAATATGATTTTGTTTCTCATTTCTAATAATAGCTTATTAGTAAAAATATAAATTAACTTTTGAAAAATCAAAACAAATATGTATTCGCCTCATTTGGCATCCGGCCCCTCTAGTTATAGTGTATATGTTCCGCCCCTGCTTGAACCTATATATATATATATATATATATATATATATATATATATATATATATATATATATATATATATATATATATATATATGGGAAAAGTGAGTATACCTCACAGCAGGACATAAGCTTAGGTACCCGATATATAATACAATGTCGTTTCCTTTATGTTTTTATTTTATAGACATCGAGTTTCTGATTAACCCCACAAACATTGTTTTTGTTTTATTTCTCAGATTCAAAGAGGAACATATTCGTGATCTTCACCCGTCCACGACGATGGTTCCTGGGAATGGGTTCACCAAAAACCCCAAAACAAACCTCGCATCGTCGTCCGTTTCGCAAGCCTTCACCATCGAAATCCGGATATTCTCAGCCACATTTAAAATTCGATTATTGATCAGTATCGAAAATAGAAAGAGCTTCCTGTGGCTTCAAGTTGGTTCGAAGAATCTTTCAATCGGGCCTCACTATTTCAAGAATTTGTGTACTCTTTAACATCCATCGATCTCGCTGCTTGCTTGTCCAACAAATTCATCAATTCCACTCTTTATCCAACCAGATTCGTTCAATTCCACTTTGTATCCAACTAAGATTGTGAATTCAACTCTGATTAATCATGTGACAAATTGAGGCATTTTTTAATTGTATGTTTTTCAATTTGCTCCACCTGCACATCAGGTGAGATTACATTAGATTGATTCCCATTTTTTTTTTTTACTTATTTCATTAGACTGAGATATCTGATCACCAGGTGTTTGATTAAATGCACCAGTGAACTTTTTTCTCAAAATGGCTTAAAAAGCATATGTTGTTATGAGAAAGGGTGTTATCACTCAAAACGTGAATTTACGCTTTGTGCCCTTGGTCCACGTGTAACTTGTTCAGATTCTCCATTTGTATGACTTTTCACAATGGCTTCTTTTATCTTGCACAAGTATTACATGTCACTCCTTCATTATTTTGAACAAGTTTACTACTTTAAAGCAAAAGCACGGACTCCGATTCAGTGTCCAAAAATGAACAAAGTCATACTCCCTGAAAATCAAGTCACATTAGGGAAGAGGTAAGAAGAAACCTGACACTGCCTCAGTCCCACATTGTTCCTCCTTTTTTGTTGGTGTAAAAAAAAGTTGTAATTTTTGTCTAGTCATGTTATCTCATCATCTCACGTCCTGTTCGATTCTTGATATTTTTTTTTTAATTTTTTTTTGTTTCAGGTTTACCAGGAACTACAAAACCAAAATGGAGCGTTATTTCAGAAGATAACCACTCATAAACAATGCAGTAATGCCATTTCAGCAACATTATTTCACAAATATGATATTGGATGACAACCCTAAAGTGATGGTGAAAACTCTCATCAAACTCTTGAAAACAAACTGAATTCAGGGTATTCTGACAATGAAAAGAGCAGTAATGAAGCTGAAGAGGGTACCAAAGATAAGAATTTAAATCTTCTAATTCTATTAGCAGTTGAAATGGGAGCTAAAAATTATGATACTGAAAGGAAGCCAAACTGTAGTTCAAGATTTTATCAAGTTTAACTTTCCTCAACAATGTTACTTTTAGAGATTTGAGTTTACCTTTCATGTTTTTATTTCTAATGTTTTGTTGGTAATATGATTGGTAAAAGTAATGTGTTTGTAATACTACTTTTTTGATTTTTTTTGTTTATGGATATTGATATGTTTCTTAATAAAATTTGAGTTTTTTGTTGACGTTCCTAGTTTCCAGATTTTTAATTCTTTTCCAGATTTCCTATTTGGTTGTATTTAGTCACTGTGTTTTGTACAAGCCTCACTAAACACATTTGTCTATGCAATATGTATCATTCGTTGGTGTGCACAAATAATAGTTCGCTTGTTTAGGCGTAATAGGGACAAAATTGACTTTTTTTTTTTTTTTTTGTTCATGGATACAATTTTATTTTTAACCCATAACAACATCCAACTTTTATTTTTACTTTTATTGTTAACCCATAATGACATCCTACTTTTACTTTTAACCCATAATGGTTGTATATTTTTACTTTTAACCCATAACGACCGAATATTTTCATTTTTAACCCATATTAGCATCCTAATATCACTTTTAACCCATTATGGTTGTATATTTTCACTTTTAACCCATAATGGTTGTATATTTTCACTTTTAACCTATATTAGCATCTTAATATCACTTTTAACCCATTATGGCTGTATAATTTCAATTTTAACCCACAATGGTTGTATGTTTTCACTTTTAACCCATAATGGCCGAATATTTGCATTTTTAACCCATATTAACATCCTAATATCACCATTAACCCATTATGGTTGTATATTTTCATTTTTAAACCATAATGGCTGAATATTTTCATTTTTAACCCATATTAGCATCCTAATACAACTTTTAACCTATTGTGGTTGTATATTTTCACTTTTAACCCGCAATAGCATCATACTTTCGTTGTTTACCAATATTAGCATCACACATTCATTTTTATCCCATAATAACAACCAACAATCAATTTTAAACAGACAAATCAGAACTAATCAACAATTTTCATTCGAAAACATAAAAAATGTTAAGAAACATAAAAAATATCAAGATTATTCATACATCATAAATCAAAAAAGAATGTCAAATATATGAAGAAGCATATGGCTTTTTCTTTTGCTCACAAAAACAACACATCTCATTTTTCTTTCTCATGTATCGATTCATCTGCCTGATACATGAAAAAAAAATAGTTATTATAATTATCATACTTCTAAAATCATGAATAGTAATTATTATTATTATAAGTACCTTTCTTTTTGAACAACTACTAGCGTAATGACCTAATCCTTGACAGTAAGAGCACGTTCGCTTTTTGGGGGCTTCTAAAGGAGACTTTTTTCTACTAGCAACTTTAGGACGCCCTTTTGTAGTAGTTGGACCAAGAGGATCACGGATAGATAACTGTGGCATCATATCTACTTGCGAAATTCCCATACAAGAACCTTGAGATGCATTCTCAAAAGATATAGATTTCTTTCGTACTACTTGATCCTTTAAAAGACTTATCAATAACGTATTAAGTTTCTGTATCTCCGAAGGGGAGTCTCTTGCTTGTTCAATTAGTTTATTAAAATTTGAACGGACACACCATAATGTGAAAGTACTAACTTCATTTTCAGTATTCATATCTCCGAGTCCGATGCTAACATTACTTACCTTGTACCTAGCATTAAGGGTCCACCGAGGTAAAATATAATGATTGGGGAGTGTTTGAACATGCCTCTTCTTCATCACATACAGACTATGCTTGCATAAAATTCCATGTGTCTCATACTTAGCACACGAACATGTGATGCTGACTTGATTCAAATAACAAAAGTAACAATACGCCAATACGTTTTATCAACATCTAGTCGCCCAACTTGATATTTGCTTTCTTCTGTACTTTCGCTTAGTGTCTCGTGAGTTAAATTATTATTAGCTTCTATCCATTCTTTTTTAAAAATATCAAAAATCTTTCAGGTATAACACTCACCTGCTTTTGCTTCAATTGGATGTACTGAGGACAGAACCGGCCTCGAATTCATAGTCTTGAAATCTTCATCTTCTTCGGCCGCCCTTCGTGACACAACTGCTTTGTCATATTGTACTACAAATTCATTCAACATAGTACTTGAGTTAACAAATCCATCAAAAAATGAATTAATACTCTCACTTCGTCCAGTTGTGGACATACCAGCCAAAAAAATATCCTTAAAGTAAGCATTAACCCAATGCATCCGTTGATTATACATGTCACTTATCCAACAATTACTTTCTAGTTTGTATTTGCAACGTATAACTTCCCACGTGGCTTCAAATTCTTCAATGGTTTCACTATTTACCCATTCTCTATATGATTGTTGAAAATCACTATAAAGGGAAACATAAGGGCGGAGGTGTTCCGGTTCATGCTTCTTGATATGCCATTCACAAAAACGATGACGAGTGTTTGGAAAAACTCTTTTTATTGAATTTCCCATAGCTTTGTCTTGATCAGTAATAATTGCTTTTGGATATTTGTTAAACATACATTTGAGGAAATGCTCAAATAACCATTCAAATGTTTTCTCCTTTTCATTTTCTAGTAATGCTCCACCAAAAAGTATAAACTGTCCATGATGATTCACCCCAGTAAAGGGAGCAAAAGGCATCTTGAATTTGTTTGTCATATAAGTGACATCAAAGACAACAACATCTCCAAACTTTGTATAGGCATCTCGTGATCTTCCATCAGCCCAGAAAATGTTTTTAGGACACCCATCATCGCACAAATCCACGACAAAATACTGGTCATTATCAACTAATGTTTTATCTTGAAAATGTTTTATAAGTCCATAAAACTCTTTTCCTTTATGTTGTTTTCGTTGCTCGGATAAGACATCAGCACATTGCTTTAAAGTAACATCGGCTTCATTTGAGGTTTTCATTGCATTAATAGCCTTTTTAACCATACTAGGTTTCAACCCTGATTGTCCAAGTTCAACCATAAGAGATTTACATTCCATGGAACGGTGAAACTTATTATGAGATCGATGCTTCATCACCTTCGTTGGTGTCATGCTCAATTCATGATTATGTGTGTCGTTAAACAAGTCCACTAACCATTTCCTATCCTTCTGTATTGTAATTCGAAGCCTTGCTTCACATCCGATTCTAACATCTCTACGACGTTTTGTCTCATTTTCACTTGAATTGTTTTTTTTTAATCCGTTTGAACCCTTCTTTGTTGCATACATAAATCTTCCGAAAAGGCTCATTTGTTTTCAAGCTTTTAAATATGTCATTTTTACGTATACCAAATCCATGTAAAAACGAATAATCATTATAAAAGTCATATGCATCTTCCGCGGTATCGAAAACCTTTCCCAATATACTTTCATCATTAACTTCATTGTCGTCACTCTCAATGTTCACATCAACATCGTTAATTTTTTCAGATTCACGTGTTGCTTCTACGAAATCATTTGTGTCAATATCTTCAGTTACATGTAGTTCAATAGCGTGATCATTTGCTTCGGTTTCAACCATTATGGCCTACACAAGACCATGGTCCATGTTTCTAAATAAAAGATTAACATCATTTTGTTTACTATTAGTAAAGATTGAATCATTATACTTAAAAATCACAATGAGAACGAAGAATATACAAAAATTAATTACATTGAATATTTACCTTTCAGAAAACACAGAACAACCAACAATGTCCAGCTCTAAAAAAACAACAATGTCCAGCTCTAAAAATACAGCAATGTCTAGCTCTAAAATCTCCGAACAAATAAGACAAAGCAACAAATTTCAAAGTCCGGAAACAGCAATATCCAAGATTAAAATTCTGCGAACATGAAAAACAAAATCCCAAAATTAAAATTCTGAAATCAGTAAACAACAAAGCCTTGGCAATTGTTTTTTTTTTTCAAAAAGCAAATCCTTATTTACTAGGAATCCAATTTCAAGATTTACCGTAAACAGAGTATTTGCAGTTTTTGAAGGAGGTCGATTGCATGAAGCAATTTCTTCAATTCGATTTCTTGAATTAACCCTTTGAAATCCGAATTATGTGAAATTTTGTTTCTTCAATCCCCAAATCGATTAGTAGTTGTATGACAAAATCCCAATTCAATTCTCGAACCTTTTTTGTTTCGTGATTTATTAGGAATCCGATTTCAAGCAGCAAAGTCGTATGGTAATCGTTTTTTGAAAACGATGATGATCACAGCCGCAATCGAAAAGGAAGGAAGATATGATATCTATTTTCATAAAAATAAGGAAACAAATTGGAACGTATCCTTTTTTTTTTCAGGAAATAACATTTTTCTTTTTCATCAAATAAAATAATTAAACAAAACTACGTAGTTTTGACAATTAGGTACCTAAGTTTATGTCCTGCTGTAAGGTATACTCACTTTTCCATATATATATATATATATATATATATATATATATATATATATATATATATATATATATATATATATATATATATATATATATATATATATATATATATATATATATATATCTTTTGTCGAGCAATTGAATTTTTATTAAAAAATTATCAAAAAACTAGCGAAATAACAATTTCAGGGAAATAGCAATTAGCGTATTTTGGATCCAATTACTCCAAAAGGCTCATTTGCATAGTAACTGTTTAAATATAAATTTATGTATTATTTATAATCAATAGCAACTCATTTTGTATAAATAAACCGAAACCAATAATTCTAATATATATTTTTTGTTCGTCCTGTAATGGAAGTCTAGTTACTGTACGAAATCTTATAAAATTTGCCTAAATAATACTTTTGTTTATATTTGTCGTTATCTTATTAATTATGCCCACGTGGGCATTAAAACGGGTTGTGTTCCATTCAAATGGTAGGTTGTACAATTTTTTTTTTTTTTTTTTAATTTTTCTGTTCAAAATTGACAAGGAAAATGGCATGAAGCTTTCCTTAGTCTTTAAAAGATTAAAAGGCGTGGATTGTGCATTTGCGTTTCATTTCATATACAGGCAAGTTGGTTTTCAAATGGTAATCATGGATTAAAAATGTATATTATGGCAAAATGATGTAATGTCACCATAAAATGTAATTGCCATAAATATGTCACAATTTTGATCATAGTTACTATATCTCTTTTAATAATAATAACCAAGATATTACGACAAACGAGTTTCTAGTCTTTTCTCTCATCTAATATGATATACGAAAATTTGACAGTGATTAGTTGTCACCAAGGTCATGCAAATAGTGTTTCAATACATCCAATCCAGAGATGTATAAGGTCCAAGTACCAAAGTTCATTTCTTGAAACACAAGGGTTTTATGAAAGAATATTAAAATCATATTTGATCAAATTAAATATTTGTTAGCCTAACATATGAATTTGAACACAGGATCTTTAAAGGATCATGACAAAGTCTTACATTAATTTTTGTTTGATTATGTTTTTTTGTCTCTCTTTCCTTTTTGTATAACTAAAAGAGAGGGGATTTATATTGACAAGAATTATGAAAAGGCTAACTCAATCTAAAACAACCCCACCATGGATTCCAGCCATCCAAATCCAATATCAAACAGATTGAGGATAATGGAATATTGACCACCCCACTTTCTTGGAATATTACATATTGACCCCTCTAACTACCTGGTCAAACCGTATAAATATTTTTTTAATACATTTAAACCGAATAAATGTGTTTTTTTTTCATTTAAAAACCATAGTTTTGTATAAATACATTTTTTTTTTACACTCAAACCATATTTTTATATATAAATATGTATTAGTTATATAAAAATTGTATTTTATATTAAATATGCAACTTTAAAATGTGTTTAGAGGTTTGGAGGCGTGTAATCGATCAAAACTCAGATATTAAGTTTGCAACCCATCAAATTTTTACATCTTATTAGAATCTTATGGTTAGTGTGATTCTCATGATATAACTAATGCTTTGAATGTTTGAAAAAAAAAACACATTGTATTTAAATAAAAATGTGGGTTTTAAACGAAAAAAATATGTTCATACGTTTTAAAATGTAATAAAAAAATATATTTATACGGTTTCAAATAGAAAATAGACAAATTGAACAAATTTTGATAAAAGATGTTCGATTGGAACAAAAAAAAAAACATAGTATTAAAATTGAAATAAAAAATTAAACTTAGTGTCAAAATCGAAAAAAACTAAAAACTTAGTGTTTTTTATGGGAAAAAAAAAATCAATTTCGACACGTCATCATATCATGTCAGCATGCCACGTCATTAAAACTGACACGTCATCATACCACATCAGTATGTAACCTGGTTAACCGGTCAAGTGGTCAGAATTGTAACAAATTGGAAAACACAGTATCAAAATTGACAAAAAAAAACACACACACAGTATCAAAATCGAATTTCTATATAAAAAGAATGTTTTTTGTGATCCAACTTGTAAGGGGCTATATGGTAAATCCAGAGTTATAAATTAAAAGAAAGAAAAAAGAATTAGTTATACAATGATTTACTATGAACAAATTCCAGATGCAACAATAAGCATGCGTGCCGAAACATTTGACTAACTTTCTTTCCTACACAATTCATGTGCACGAGAACAGCAGATTTCCCATGGCGTGCAACCAAAGAAAAGGAAAGGAGCAAAAATAAAAATAAAATCACAGTTTGCATGCTAATTAAATACAAATATTGCAAAAGAAAAGAATTTCTTACACAAATTTCTAGCAATTGAATTAGCATCATCATGATTTATTTGACTGAACGACCGTCCATCTAATAGGAAAGAGTGTTCAATTTTTATCTTGATTGTTATGTTATTCTTCACAAAAATATTCAAATTTTGAGAAACGTACGTGTATTATGGGTTCAAGAAAGTTATTAAGAAAATAATAAATTGTATCGACACCAAATCAAATGATTAATAAAATATTGTAAAAAGGTATCAAACGTAAATCCTTATAAATTTATCAGTCAAATTCTAGAAAAAAAACAATAGTATCATATTTTCGTAATATAATAATTTATTTGTAATTAATAAGACTCAAATATAACAATAACAATATAGCTATAAATGGTTTATTATTGATCAATTGTTTAAAGTAAACAATAAATTGAAACAGTGCATACATAACTAATAGGGTCCGTCTTAGTAATTATATATATATATATATATATATATATATATATATATATATATATATATATATATATATATATATATATATATATATATATATATATATATATATATACTATAATAAATGAAAGTTTTTTTTGCCACGTGTCCTCTTCTTATTCATTTGGACACATGACATTTTCTAGAATTTTTAAATTTTCTATTTTCCACTTGTCATTTTATTGTATTTTTCATTTTATTAAATTAAAATTCCACATTTAATGTATAAGGTAATATATATATATATATATGTAAAGTATTTATTAGAAAAAGTTTATATACGTAATGTATATCTCATTAATTTTAATAATTCAAAATTTTCTCATTTTTCTTATAAATTCAAATTTTTCAAATTGTTAAAATTTTATATTTATTTTTTTAATTAAACCCATGTAATACATGGGTTTCACACCTAGTATATATATATATATATATATATATATATATATATATATATATATATATATATATATATATATATATATATATATATATAGGGTTAGGTTCATTTGAGACCACCTATATTTTGTGAGACCGTGAGACGCATTTTTTTATTTTTTTAATTTTTTTAAATTTTTTTTTTAGTTAATTCATATTCCGAAAATAATATTTAAAAAAAGAATTTTTTGATTTTTCCATTTATTTTGCATTTTAAAATTATTTTTAGAATATGTACAGTGTAATATTCTATTTAGAATATTTCACGTATTTTTCAAAAAAAATAGAATTTTTTTTATTTATTTTTTATTTTTTTTAGTTAATTCAAGTTCCGAAAATTATATTTAAAAAAAGAATTTTTAGATTTTTCCATTTATTTTGCATTTTAAAATTATTTTTTAGAATATGTCAGTGTAATATTCTATTTAGAATATTTCACGTATTTTTCAAAAAAAAAAACGGAATTTTTTAATTTTTTTTTATATATTTTTTAGTTAATTCAAGTTCCGAAAATAATATTTAAAAAAAGAATTTTTGGATTTTTCCATTTATTTTGCATTTTAAAATTATTTTTAGATTTGGTCTCACGGTCTCACAAAATTAGAATGGTCTCAAATGAACCTGGACATATATATATATATAATAATAATTGGATCATGTGCAGTTGTCTACTTTCTCAACCCCCCCCCCCCCCTCTCAACGCCCCCATGCTAATTATAGTTATTAAATTTAATTAATATTATACATACACAATAAATATTTGGTTTAAACTTATAAAAGAATACTATAATTTGTTGGATAGAGAAAAAATTAGAAAAAAAAAAGTATTTTGTTATGTCAATCTAGTAGGTGTAAGGCGGGACTAATTAGGTGTAGCACATGGTTTCTGGTATGCATTTTATTCATGTAATTATCA